AATGCCATGGAAGAATAGGAGAAAATATACCAATTTTTTTAGGTGTCTCGGCATTTGGAGAGTTGCCCCATCCGGTGCCTGACTGATTATAGATAATAGTGAATCCAATAAGTCATGGTATTTCACAGTCACCATTCTAACATTTGCTGAGAGAAACTTGCTGGATTGCAAGGGTTGGTGGCAGCTTGGTGTGTATGTAGCCCTGGAAAGAAAATATCACAATCTTCATTAATGATTGACTTTTCCGGATATGTATGTTTACAGCACAGTGTTGGCCTATAGAACAAAACCTTACAATGTTTATCCATGGCTTGCAGACTTAATTCTATTGATGCAGAGTATTAAAATCAATAAGAGCCCTTTTCTTTCTGCAAGTTTACTGCTTAAGTTCAAATGTAATTGTATTGCTATGAATTAGGGTTAGGAATGAATGAATGTTTTGAATTAATAAAAAAATGATTACCAAAAGTAATACTTTCAAGTAGTACTTTAAGACAAAAAACAAAAGGTAGATGGGGAGAAAGAATCTCTGACCCAGTGAGAAATTTAATACCAACGTCCTCTAGCTCAAATCCAAACAGTCCACCTTCACATCATTCCTTCTTATGTAAATAAGTTATTTCCAAGATTTACTTACAAGATAGTTGTTATAGATTTAGTCAGTATTCACTTTAGAAAAGTGCAAAATGGATGATTATTATGGCTATAATTTGATTGATGCAAAATATTGTTCAAAAGTCATGTGTACCAGTGTGCATATTTTATTGGCCTGTTTTTATCAAATTTTCACAAGGTGAAAAGAAAAAGTACCAAATTGTTTATTAGGAGTCTTCACTTTTGTTCCCTGAAGGATTCATAAAGCAAATCAACAAAACTAAATTGGAAACCAATGGATAATAAAACAGGATAGGTCTGGTTTGAGTTATTTTTCTTTTTAAATGCCTTCCAGTAGTGGCCCTGTCTGCAGTGTGGGCCTAAGAAACTGAGAAAGAGAAAGACAGGTAAGTAAATATGGCTACGTAATATGGCATTTGTATATGTTAAATTAGTATGGGATTAACATATTATTATATAAACAACAGGGTCTGATTTGGTAGCTCCTATGCAAAGACAACACTGTCTCTGTACGGAGAAGTTCCAAAGGGCTGCGTTTGCTGTGGAGTGCGCATGTTCTGCCCACGTTAGCTTAATAGGTGTCTATAAATTATCCCTGTGTGTGTTTGTGCTCTGTGGCAGTTCTATCTGGCATTCAGGAGGGTCTCTGCATTGAAATAACCCTTACCAGGAATACCAGGAATAATTCCTGATAAGGGACAGAGCAATTTACTTTGACACTTAAGTAACATAAATTTGCAGTTCAGTGCCCCTGACTGATCCATATATGAGTCATCTACAGTCATCTACAGAGAAGCCAATAATGTGCCGTGAGGCTGTTTAGACTGCAGGAAAGCTGGCCCCATGACAGGGCTTAAAATTATGATCAGGCATAAGTTAGATTCTGAAACTATTTCCAGCAGTGCCTGACTTTCTTTAGCATGACGTTCTAGTATTGACAAGGTCAGCTTTTAGCTACCCTCTGAGACCCACTGTCTCAAGGCTCAGAAGAAGAAAAGACTCTCATGTTGTTGCCAGGATACAGTGGAGGTTGTTGTTAATGTTGCAGTGATGAGGCCCAGGCCGCTGCTGCGTGGAATGCCTTGTGTTGCCTGGCATGTCTCATTCACCTGCCTTTCACTGGAGCTGTGCTATTTAATCTAATGACCCTGAGTCTTTAAAAGAACGACAATATGTTCCTTTTCAAAGGCCTCCCTGGGGACTCATATTAAACAAGATCTATCTACCTCAATGTGAATATCACATTCCAGAAGGTTTTTTTTAGTAAATTTTAAATATACAGGTTTTTATAAATACATTTCTAATTAAATAAACTTATAAATAAATAAATATAAATGTACTGATTTAAATTCCCCTTTGAAGCACATAATCATATAATTATTTATACCAGTCTGTATCTTTATAATGATCAATTACAGTAACTACTTAAATTAGAAACTATTTACTGAATGTTTTAATGCTGCCAAGAAATTAATGTTTAAGGGGATGAAAGAAAGCAATAACGGATCTTGTTCTTGAATGAAAATTATAATCACACAGCAGAAAAAATGCACTCATATTCAGTAGTCGACATACTGTAGTAGTTCATATCTTTGCTTCACTTACATAAACCTACTCATGATCTTCACTTAATTTTGTCTTTATTATCAGCTTTATGAATTATAAGTCTCCACTAATATGGTATAAGAATTAAAATCTTATTGATCCTGAAATCACACCCAAATATTTCTTGTAAAGTCCTAGGCAATCATCTTCAGCAACATGATGAGGGTAATTATTTGCAAGGTTTGTATGGGAATGTAATCTACTTGTTTGTATAAGAAGGTAAGCCATTTCTAGATTCAGGATACAGAGGGTCAGATCAACTGGGCAAGTGTTTATCCTGGTTTCCATGACAATAAGCAAAAGAGCATGGGGCTCCCTACTGAATGGATGCCAGTCCAATGTAGAATCTACCGCAGCAAAGTCCTCATCTCCATTCACACAGCTGGGTGGACTGGATCAATCTGGGTACAGTACCTCACTAAAACCTACACCAGGAACTTGACCGCATGACCCGGTTGAACCCACTATGAAAAGTCCATAGACTTACCCACAGCACTACGTGGCCCTCATATGAATAAGTGAGATGTTTAAAAATAACGGCTTGCCTTTTTAATCTTTGAACTTAAATACAAATTTATCTTTGAATTAAGATGTCAAATTAGGTTTCAGCCAGTCTTCATGTTTTCTAACTACACCTGCTGGTTAAAATATTAGAAATCTCCAGTCAAATGAATCTACGTTCTTAGTGGCAGGCAATATGTGATTTGATTGAGAAGTATAAGACAGACAGTCCTCATTGGCCAAGCCAATCTGTAATTCCATGTTCAGTCCCATGAAAAATGATCAAACAGTTAAAAACAAAAGTTCCGTCTCACACACTATCTCCATTATAACCCCACTGACAATCATCCTGCTAGGAGAAGGGAAGAAGGCTTGGAAACTTGGTGGTATATAAACCATATCTTGTTTAAGTTGCTCTTCTCAACATGTTCTTCTGTGGAGGTTCCTGTTATATTGTTTAGGGTGTTGACCAATAAAACAGAACAACTGGTGTTAGACACACAAAAAAGACTCTCCTTATTGTTATATATATATATTATTTAAGGTTGTGCCGATCTGTGTCTATTAGTGGAACATGAAGTTGTCAGCACTTCAGATTGTGAATGAATGGAAGTGTGAATGGTCCTGGAGTCCAGATTGTGATAACGATGATGATTGCCCAAGTACTGAGTGGAAGACTAGTGATTTTGTTGTTTTTAAACTGATAAAAAGGACAACAAGTCATAGTCTACCACCCAGCACTGGGAGGAAAGGCAGCAGAGAAGCTTTTCTCCACATTTTTCCCATTTCACAGTGCTTTGTAAACCAGATAAAGAGGAATGGAAAAGACAAGGTTGTCTTCTTTTTAACATCAGCTCCTGGAAAATTAACTCACCATGAAGGAGGCAATTCAGAATGCAGCAGGTGGACCTCATAAAAGATCATAAGAAATGTTACGAAGGAGAGGAAGCCAATCAACCCATCTTGCCCATTTGGTAGTATGTTAGTACCAGTTAGACATTAGCTATTTGATCAAAGATCCCATTCAGCTGTTTCTTGAAAGAAAACAGAGATCTGGCTTCAGCAATGTGGCTGAGTGCCTCCTGTTCTAGGTTTTGCAAACATTTCCATGCAGATTTGACTTGTGTCCTCTGGATTAATGTTCCTCTGTTCAATGGGAAGAGATCCGCTGGGCTGACTTGGGGATCTTGAATACTTTTATTAAGTCCCATTGTAGTCTTCTCTGTTTAATATTGAAAAGGTTCAGTTCCTTTCACCTCCTGATGCAGGACATTCCCTTAAGACATAGAATGTACAGCATCTAGCTAATCTTCTCTAGATAGACTCAAGAACAGAAATATATTTTCTGTAACATGGTGACCAAAATTGCACACAGTAATTTAAAAAAGATACTTCACTGTTTTTTTGGATAGTTTTAACATAATTCTCCTTGATTTAAATTCTATGCTTTTTATTATACAGTCAAAGCCTTCTGAATTTCACTTGCAATATCTACAGTGTTTGCTAATCCTCTTAATTTGGTATTATCTGGTACTTAACTAGTTTACTGACTATTCCAAAATCTATATCATTGATATGAATTAAGAAGACCACTGCTCATAGTACTGATCCCTGTGGTGCTCCATTAATTACATCAGATTGTGTATTTACCCCTTATCCTGAACTGTACCATATGTTTTCTATTTCATAACCAACTTTCAATCCAAACAGAACTAGTTGTCAGTTCCCTGCAAACCAGTCAGCATAGTCAGGCTTTGTCATCATGAAATCTTCCACAATTTAGGAAACAAGGCAATGACATCCAAGGACTGGTTATATCATATGGAATATGTCAGCAGTTCTTCTGTTCTGCTCAGGATGAGACTTGAAATTCTGGTTTAAAATGACAAGTTTTCATTTCAGGAAGTAACATTGACCTGAAATCAGTAGTTCAGTTACCGTAGACTGCAGGCAAGGAAGTCTTTGTGGTTTCTCTACGAGATCAATTTAAAACCTTTGAAAAGAACTAATGCAAAACTTTTTTTCGGAAATGATTTGTATTCATGGAAATAACTCATCCATGAATACAAATCATCTTACAGGATTACATTGAGACTATCTATATTATCATTGATATCATTGTTATCAACATACCCTAGTCTCCAACAGGATGAGTGGAGGAGCTGAACAATACATTTGGAGTTCTGTTTCAAAGCAAACACCACATATAGGGGAGAAATTCAGGGAAGAGTCTTAACCATCTACCTGCTACAAGCTAAATCCTTAATTATGTCTCGTAGAATCATCAGCTTACCTCTACCTACTGTATGTCACCTGTTCCTAATGGACCATATCAACTGGATCCACCTCATTTCTGGCCGGGAGCCTGTCTACTACTACTCAAGGAGTACAGACCAATAGGTAGGCAATACACGGTATGAGATTCCCTATCCCTCATGCATACTACACTGTCCAAACCTCTAATAATAACTCTAATAGATTGAGTCACCCATTATCATTAGATCCCTTTTTTCTGGAAAAGCAGTCTGTGAACCAACAATCTTCCCATATTCCTCTGGGCTGTCAGGACCCAGATCTAATTCAAGGAATGCTGCCACTGGCAGGATACAAACTAGTACATGAAATTATGTAAATGCAACAAATTAGAAATACACCAAAAACATTTCCCACCAAAGAAACATCTACCAAAAGGAAGACTGTAAAGTACTTGAGGGAGTTCCTAATCTCCCAGAAGCCAATTAAACACAAAACAGGGCATGAAACATTTACATGTTGCTAAATTATATTATTGTAAGCAGTGCTATTCAATATTTAACTTACTGTTGTTAAATCAATATGCTCTACAAGTTCCCAAATGATTGTTACTGCCTCTATTTATTTTGTAATGATCTTTCATTGTTGTAGATTTTTCATGCAGCATAACAAAGGTTTCAGAATTATATTTTATTACCTGTAGGTTATTGCACCACCTTTATGAATCTGGGTTGAAACAAGGATTTATGGATATACAGTATTATACTTCTGCAATGACCTTATCTTTTGAATTCTGGGTAAAGGTTTATAAACCTGGACATTTTGTGACAAAAGAAAAACACTCAATGTTAGGAAAAACAATGAGCATAAGTTAAAAACTTCCAACTCATGTACTAAGTTTGGTGTATGCAAAGAGAAACTGAATAACTACCATAAATAAAATTTACAGAAAACTAAGCTAACGTTTATTTTGGCCAAGTCCCTAAAGTGACATTAATTGAAGCTCTTGCTTCTAGGCTACTCTCCAGCTTAAATTGTGAAAAGGATGACTACATCTTGTTGAACTTTTCAAAATAATTTAATGTATTTTATATATTACATAAAGATGTTCTGAGAGAAATCAAATGCTTACAATATCAGCTAAGCTATGGTGTGTGAATAACAGCATTGATGATTTGGATCTAAATATTAAAAATGTGGACTTCACATCTTAACATTTGTTTGCTTTTTAAATTTTTATTATTTTCTATTAATTGCTATCCCCTTACTATTTTAATTTTACTCTTATGATATTTTTAAATACATTTACAATCACCATTTATTTTTGTTATACCCACCATATTTGCAATAAACAATATTGTGTGTTTCAAATCTTGACACTCAGCTGCGAATGCTGTGAATGCACACAGAATGAATGTGTAGGCATCTGACTGCCCACCATTGAGCCTCTTTTAATATTGATTTCTCTTTTAATGTCAGAACACAGCACCACATCAGAGGCTCAGGGCCAACTGGAAGAAAGGTGCATCTTTGACTGGCTGCTCCACATGTCTGCAAGTGCCAACTGATCCACCCTACCCCAGGAGACACTCAGCCACTTGGAGAACCAGAGTCACAGTTTTACTTGTTTTTTAAATGTGCAATACTTCCAACACATTCATGAACAATATAACAGGAAAATGAATACAATGACGCTCTTGTATTTATGAAGAGAGATGCCACCATTTCAACAATTTCTATTTCATGGTCTCTAGAATAAATCAAATAGAAAAACATTATGATTCAGTGCTATATTCTGTGTGGTAAAAGGGAAATAGATCTTTTTACGATTTTCAGAGCTCCAAAAACATTACAACATCACAATCCTATACAGGCAGGACAAGAGGCACAGTGATTGAAGACATCTCAGTGTAGATGATGTTAAGCAATGTTGTCACATGAAATTCTTTCAGATTCTTAGGCAATCTTTAAATCCTGCACAATCTTATGTGTGAAATGTGCTCACATATTGTAGAGATGCAAGGAGTCACAGTGTAGTTTCATGAAGATCTAAAAGAGGCTTGTTTTGTAACGAAGAAGTCTGCTTGAGATCAAACAGACAGAGAGGATCTCTTACAGACGCTTACAATTGTTCACAGGCATCCTTTTATACTTTTAAAACATCTCCTCCATGTACTCTATATGATATTGGAGAAGCACATATTTTAGGACAGTATCCTTCTTATAGACTTCCATATTTGAGAGACAACAGTGTTCAACCTGTCTGTCAGATTCTTTGTGACACCAATAGGTGTCTATACAGCACGTCTTTCACACAAGAAGAGTTTTCACACAGAGTAAATCTTTCACACAACAAAATCCTATTGAGAAAATCCTACAATGAGACCTCTCCAAAAACTAAAAATATTCACAGCTAAAGTATTTGAAAACACATCATATACAAATGTAGTATTGTAAATGCATGTGGAAGCAAAGAAAAGGCAGGTATGTGTGTAATGCAAATTACTGTATGTAGTCTAGATCAATAACTTTTGTGTAAAATGAAATGTTACCTACGAGAGTCTTGTGAAGTGAATGTGAATGACACTGTTGGCAGGCATTACACTAGTCACTGCTACATCACCTCCCAGCCACATACCGTATATAAATCTCACATGACAAAAGCACAGAAATCAAAAGGTTTTAGCTAATAAAGACCAACTACATGTTTTAACCCTATGCTTTGTGTAATACAAGGAGGAGTCATGAAACTGGCACAGCTGGCAATAGATGAAGACAACTTAAACTGCCCAAAACTGATGCCAAGCTCATCTGTGTACAATTCTCTATTAAGAAGGAATGCCTGGAGATTTTCTTGGCCACCTTACCTTCAGTTCTTACCTGAAGCTCAAATACTATCCTCCAGGCATACCTGTAGGCAATACAATCTCATCTTTGTTTATAATGGGTTTAGTGAAAATAAATAAACTAATGCATTTAAAGAAAATCACGAAAGTCGCACAAAAACACCAAAAAGCATTTCAATTAATGAAAAAGTGTGACAACATCACCTGATGTACTGTACACCAACAGAAGTAATTATTTGCAAAACCTTCCATTAGCCGTTGGACCTTGCTCAAAAGATCAATAGATCATAAGACACTCAGAAAGAAAACCTGAGATTTATACTGTTGAAAAAAGGTCTTTGTAAAAATATGTATGTTGGAACACTGACATGCTATAATTTATGATTTGACAGATGCATTGGTGTACACTAATATTCCCCTGAAAAAAAGTCGATAATTATATGTGCATTTCTCAACAAACATAATAGAATGCCTATAACATGTCAACCCTCAAAAGAGTTCTTACCACAGACTGCTGATTTGCACACAAACTGTTGATTGTTTCAGACAAATTTACAAGTACTCAATCCAGTTGCATTGCAGTATATTAAGGCATAGCTGTGCAAGTATGATCCTTCAAGCTTTGGTCCTTGCAGGTTAACTAATCCTAATATAATAACCTTCCCAACACTGAAGAATTTTGAAGACTCTCTGCATGAAACGGTGAAACACTTCCACAGAATGTTGTTTTGGTCTTGGGTGCAGCAGTTGGCCTTCACTGGGTTACAAACACCATTAAAAGTTTTTCTCTCCTATGTATTCATACATTCAATATATATTAATATACTATAATAATAATAGTTTTACTATAATAATACTATAATAATAGTTTGAACTAATACTATAATAATAGTACTATAGTACTATAATACTATACTATAATAATAGTTTTAACTAATCCTTATGCATTATTAAAAAAAATGTGAATTAGATATAGGGTGGCAGGTTCTTCAGCCTCAGAGATAAGATTAGATTTCTTCAGGATAGATCTTAAGGATAGGTGTAGTTTAATAACACTGGAGAGTTAAGAGGTATTTAGAGTGTTTTCCATGGCATAGACACTTTTTACAAAGTTAAATAGGCCAGGAATTATTAAGCAAATTAGGATGAAGCTTAAAGACTAATTTCACAATGTCATAGACAGACACCATTGAGAAAGTCAAGTGTTGAACAATTTGCAAGATAACCAGCTGAGAAAAGAAACTGAGTTAGGAGGGGGAGAAAAATCAGAAATATCAGATAGCCATGTGCTTGCACTGAAATATTTTATTAAGAAAAAATAAGTAATTTAAGTAATAAGTCATTACACAAAGTATGATCAGCACATCTGAGAAGCCTGCATTGGATGTAGCAATTGATCAGATGTTTTAAACAAAAAAAGAAAATCAATTTTTCCCATTTAAAATGTAATTAGAAAAATTTCCCAAGACATCCTTATATTGCTCCAGATGGGATTTTCAGATTTCAAAATCAATATAGAGCCTAGATAACCTGCTTCATTGCTCCAACTTCTGACCTTAGCATTTAAGGTTTTTTAAGTCATCCTTAAAATCATGTTGGTTTCTGTCAAGGTGTAATGGAACTGAGTCTGAAATGAAGTTTAAGTTTTGAAAATTCTACAGAATACCTACAACTATAAACAGCCTCACCTAGTGATAACAAAATGAACCCTTGTGAAAATGAGTGGATGGAACTCTATGCATTTTCATACTTATGATGTTATGTAAGCATAATTACTATAAGTAGGTATATCATCAGAAGTAATGTTATTATGTAAACATTGATTTAAAAGGAACATTTCCTAACCTTACTTTTGCATAAGAGGTTTCATAGATCGTTACTGACTGGACCTTAATTCATTTTCAAGGGCTCTGTCTCTGCTTTGTCCAGGACACCAGCCACAATAAAGAACAACAGTTTCCAGAATGCACTTGAGACATTCTGTGGCTATTTTAAAACAAGAATTAATGTCTGAATCATATACTGTTATTACATTTGATCTATGGACCTGTTACAAAACTCAGAGGACGTTTCTTGCTATGACATGTCTCCTGTTGACTAGGAGTGGAATTTAAATGTGAAATGAAATGACTGCAATTGATTTCTGAGAGAATATTGCTTCCTCTGTAAAAAATGTGTTGGTTTCCATTAACTTAAAGTGATGTATGCTGTCAGCCACTGCTGTACTTGTTTTCAGTTTCTTGAAGCTGAAAAGGCTGTCTTGTTTGGCAGACAGTCTTCAACAATTGGAAGGCTGCCTGTCCATACTACCCTTTCTTAGAAGTCACCAAATGCTTGACAAGCTCATGCTAAATTGCATCTGACTATAATTGGATCTAAACCCAAGAAAATTCCAAGGGACTGTTATACGGAGATGAACAATTATAGACTGCAGCATTGAAGCTAAAGAAACTAGCACTAAATATTAATGGTGAAGGTAGGATATTCTTAGAATGTGTTTGTGAGATACTCAGACCATTCCAGGAAGCCAACAACATAATGCTCTCTGAAGCAAGCATCCAGCTCACTTTAAATCTAGCTCTGACTCGAAGACGAAAAGTTAACTTTAAAGTCAAATGGCAATTAGTTCATCATGCATAGAGGATGACTTTCATTGTCCAGTATTAGCCTTTTTTTGATCCAGGGAAAGATTAGACTTTAAAAGATGATTTATTTCAAAAGTAGCAAAAAGAAGCTGTGATCATAGGCTTCGCTGTTCTATATGTATCTACTGAATGCGATCCGTTTCCACCTAACAGGGGGGCTTCATTTTTAACTGCGCACGATCCCTTTGACAACAACCTTGAGAATGATAAAATGCAAGAATCTGCTTTGTACCAATAGCTGAATGTGTGGGCAGCACAGAAGAGAAAGCCTTGAGACTCCTACCTTTTGACTTATTGGAAAAATGCAAAGATTCACGACCTTCAAAATTATCTTGATAAAGTGAAAGCTGTCCTTATGTCAGAATTGATAAAGGAAAAACTACAAACAGACATCATTTTCCTTATAAGCAGATGATTTATTACTTTATATTTCTGATCCTGCTAGCTCTATTCTGCATGCAGTGTATATTTTAAAATAATTTGGTTATACTGTACGTAGTTCAGGGTATAAATCAAATTTTGCTAAGAGTGAACTTTTTTCTCATTAATAAGGCTGCCAATATCCACTCCACACCTTACCGTTTAAGATTACCCACCCCTAATTTTCCTACCTGGGAATCACAGTTACAAGATCTTACTCTCACCTCCTCAAAGTCACTTCCACAGCACATCTAGAATGTACACAGCAAGATCTCAGCAGGTGGTCCACCATGTCCTTGCCTGTTGTGTGAAGAGTCAATCCTGTTAAAATTACCAATCTTCATAGATTTTTGTATCTTTCTCAGACCTTTCCAATACATTTATTCCAAAGACTGCTTTTCAAAAGCTCAATCAAATATACTTTTGTACTTCATTTCCAATAACTAAACCCCATGCTTTCATAAGATTTTCTTACAAAGACCAAAAAAAGAGGAAAGGCATGGCATTGCCTGTATTTCATTTTTATTACTGGGCAACAAATATTAAGAACCTTTTATATTGGCATCCAACTTGACCATTACAGTCAGATCTGCCCTGGCTACAAACTGAAATGAACTCTCATCCCATCTGGCCCTGCTCTGTTCTTCTATTGCTCAGCTCACCCAGAACCCTGTAGTGCAACATACTCTGGCTCCAGTTCAGGAGCAGTTTGGCTTTATGTCATTCTCCTCACATTGCCCTCTAAATACTCATCATCTGTTATCCCCTTCCCTCGGTGACAAGACATTCCTTAACTGGCACAGAAATTGGATTTTGACAATTCAAGATTTGCTTGAAAATAACATTTTTATGTCATGTTTTGAACACTTTAGAAGGCAATATAATCTGCTCCAATTTCGATATTTACAAGGCATATATGTACCCAGTTTACCTTGTTCCTTTGCCTCCCCTAAACACTGACATTGATTCTCTTCTTGAGCTCTCACCTGATGGCAAATGTTTAATCTTAACTTTAATTAAGACCACTGGGTCACAGGGGGAACTGATGCCTAACCTGGCAAACAACGGGTGCAACTCAGGATTCACCTAGGATGGGACACCCGTCCATAAGAGGGCACACAGAGACAAACACAATCACTCCAAGGCCAACCGCACAATAAAAATGACTGTTATTATAAATGTAAAATATAACATGTTGTGTTAATGTTCAAATAATCTCTTCCAAAGTAGGCTTTTTAATATTGCTCACCCCTTTTAACGAAAAAACATATATTTTTATATTTATTATGAAATTGTTGCTGCTTAAGGCTTGAGCAAGACACTTTACCCAAAATGCAACAGAATCTAACAAATGTTGTGTATACATTTTACACTGCTATGTATGTAAAATATATACATTGTGTACATATTTTACATATATTGTATCTCATACGTTTGTCTCTGTAACTAAGCGTTTTTATTCTTCTGACACACTGCCCTCTGGTGTAATTTTTTTAAACAATTTCATTGTGTGCTGTACTTCTCTTAAAAACGCCGTCAGTTTTCAGAAAAATTAAATAATGGTTTTCTGGACATTATAAGAGTATTACATTTTCTAATATATAATATAATATTAACCATATATTATTATTATTATTATATTCTAAGCATAATATGTAAACAAAAAGTGTTAAATAGCTTAAACAATGACACTCACAGCGTCCAGTTTTACGGCTGTTTTTGTGGGAATGTAACCATATCTTGCCATAGTTAAGCATACTGGAAGTAACTTTGTTTATTTTGTGCAAATACCAAGAAGTCCTGCACAGTTCCAGTGACATTCGCAGTAAACCGGACCTCCCGGCCTGGGCAGGGGGCTCTGCTGTCCCATCAAAGCAAATTTCCTACGAGTCAGATAGACAATGTGAAGAAAATAAAACCCAAAGATTATTTGCATTTTTAAAGTCCAGTTTCTGATGTCCTAATATTGCTACAGGAAATGTCCCTTTTCCAAACACTGTAGTAACAACTGGTTAGTTCTTATAAGAATCCTTTCAAAGAAAATAATTAACAGGAACATGTCAATTTGTCCACTTCAGACCGGAATACTGTGGTTCGGAGGAACCAAATAAATATTCTCAAATTCTTTCTGCTGTTGTTTTTGTGTGTGAAGTTATTTAAATACCACCTTCTGTCCCACAGCAAACCAAGGGACGCACTTCAGTGTCACTCGCTGAGTTTTATTTTACAAATATTGATAAATAACAGATCCAAATACAAATAAATAACAGATTTCATAAATAAATATGTCTCGCGATGTTTTCTGTTTGGAGTTACTACAGGCTCAAACGAAGCTACGGGTTATTTCCTTTTTCCTATATTGATCTAACAATATCTTTAGTAGAAGTCGAGCGCACTCCTGCTGTCGGCCGGTGGATCCGAACCCCCCTCCGGCCCCCCCACAGCTGTAGAGGCGATTGGCTCATGGGAAGGTCACGAGCCTTCCCAGCTGTTTGACGGGGGCGCAGGGGCCCAGGACACGGGGCATGCTGGGACATGTAGTTACAGTTCTTTGGGTGCTTATATCAGTGAAGGGGATGAGTGATTCCTTAAAAACCCCATTTACCATAATCGCCCGGATTACGTTGAGGAAAAGGTTTTACCCTAATTTTCCATTGCATCTCGGGAATGGTATTTCTATGGAAGCAGCTCTAACCGCTAATCGCTACTAGTCTCACGCAGCGGAAAGACTACAATTCTCGTGATGCTGAGCGCGTATGGTAAACATAGACCTGTCAAAAAAGCAAAGACTCCATTTTGTCACCAGCCTTAAAATGGCTGAAAATGTAAGCGAGAGGAAGAGGCACAGATCAGATTTATTATTTTAATTTTGAAAACCGCTTTCGCTGGGTTAAATGGCCGACAGAAGATCCAAACGCCGGTAATATGGATATCAAAACGGCGGTTTTTAACGCTGCCAGAGATGGGAAGCTGAAACTTATTCAGAAGTTGCTGAGCAACAAAACTCCCGAAGAGTTGGAAGCTCTTGCCGAGGAGAAGACGCAAGGGGGCACGCCTTTATTGATCGCCTCCAGGTATGGCCATTTGGAAGTTGTGGATTACTTGCTTGAGCACTGCAAAGCCAATGTGGAGCTGGGGGGCTCTGTTAATTTTGACGGGGAAACGATTGAAGGAGCGCCCCCCTTGTGGGCAGCATCTGCGGCCGGCCACTTACAGGTCGTGAGGAGTTTGTTGAAACACGGGGCTTCTGTGAACAACACTACTTTAACTAACTCCACGCCTCTGAGGGCTGCCTGCTTTGATGGCCACCTGGAGATTGTCCGGTATCTGATTGAGCACAAGGCAGACATGGAGGTGGCCAACCGTCACGGGCACACCTGCCTGATGATCTCCTGCTACAAAGGGCACAAGGAGATTGCCAAGTACCTGCTGGAGAAGGGAGCCGATGTGAATCGGAAGAGTGTGAAGGGTAACACCGCCTTGCACGACTGTGCCGAGTCGGGCAGCCTGGACATTATGAAAATGCTGCTCAAGTGCAACGCCAAGATGGAGAGGGATGGCTACGGTATGACGCCTCTCCTAGCAGCCAGCGTGACAGGACACACCAACATCGTGGAGTACCTCATCCACCAGCCGCGCTCCTCCCGCGAGGAGCGAATCGATGCGCTGGAGCTGCTGGGGGCCACGTTTGTAGACAAGAAGAGAGACTTGTTAGGAGCCATGAAGTACTGGAAGAGAGCGATGGAGATGAGGCATGGGGACAAGGGCGTAGTCATCTCCAAGCCCCTTCCAGGGCAGCTCGTGCTGGCGTACGACTACTCCAGGGAGGTGACCACCAGCGAGGAGCTGGAGGCCCTGATAACTGACCCCGACGAGATGCGCATGCAGGCCCTGCTGATCCGCGAGCGCATTCTGGGTCCCTCCCACCCCGACACCTCTTACTACATCCGCTACCGGGGGGCCGTGTACGCTGACTCGGGCAACTTTGAGCGCTGCATCAACCTTTGGAAGTATGCCCTGGACATGCAGCAGAGCAACCTGGACCCCCTCAGCCCAATGACGGCGAGCAGCTTCCTGTCCTTCGCCGAGCTCTTCTCCTTCGTCCTGCAGGACCGTGCTAAGGGCACCTTGGCCACCCGGGTGACCTTCACCGACCTCATGGGAATCCTTAACAAGAGCGTGCGGGAGGTAGAGCGAGCCATCGCCCAGCGGGACAACCCACCGGAGGTGTCCCAGTTCACCAAGGCCCTCTCCATCATCCTGCACCTCATTTACCTGCTGGAGAAGGTGGACTGCAGCCCCGAGCAGGAGCACCAAAAGAAGCAGACCATCTACAGGCTGCTAAAGCTCAACCCCAGAGCTAGGAACGGCTACACCCCCCTGCACATGGCTGTGGACAAGGACACCACCACAGTGGGCCGCTACCCTGTGGGCAAGTTCCCCTCCATGCAGGTGGCCCTGCTTCTGTTCGAGTGTGGAGCTGATGTGGACTCGCGGGACTATGACAACAACACCCCTCTGCACGTGTCTGCCATGAACGCAAGCCCAGAGATCATGAACGTGCTCATTGAGGCCGGCGCCCACTTCGATGCAACCAACTCCCAGCGCAAGACCGCCTACGAGCTGCTGGACGAGAAGGCCACCGCCAAGAACACCATGCACCCCCTCAACCACATCACCCTGCAGTGCCTTGCCGCCCGAGCCATTGAGAAACACAAAATCCCTTACAAAGGGCTCATCCCCGAGGAAATGGAAGCCTTCATCGAGCTGCACTAACCCTTTTGTTCGCTTTCCATTTTTTTGGAAAAACATGCATAAAAAGGAACTAGCAAGTAACAACCTATTTAACTCTTGTGTCTGTATGTCAGATGGCGCTACAGCTTAAGAAGATGGTGGCAGAATAATGTGTTGGTGGGTGGGGGTGGGGGGGTTACAAACTTGCCAAAAAGCTTGCATGTTGGTTAAAGTATTCTCAAGCAAGGAACCACCAGCCTCATGGGTACAGAATTTTGTCTGTCTAGTGCCTAGTTTTGTTTTGTTTTTTAACTATTTATCGCTTTAATATGTTTTTTTTTTAATGTTACTAAAACAGTCAAAAACGGTAATCGGATAATGTGAGATCTGCTCTTAACAGACATCACTGATGGCTCACACCGGTCTCTGTCATTCAGTACAGATACTTGTAGACTTGGCAGGTCCGGTTTGCTCTGTCCAGGGCAGATTGTATTAGTATTGTTGGGACTCCATTGATGCTTATAGGAAATCATCCCTGCAAGTTAGATTCTACATCTACAAACTGGGAGCAGGACAAGCAATTTTCCACACCTTGGAGTCTTATTGTTTTTTTGTTTCATTTTTCATTAGTTTTTATTTTACCTTATTTAAAGCACTTTGAAGATCTAGTTTGTTTTGCATCAGGTCCCAAAAATCAGCCAGTAACTGTTGTTCTGTGTTTAATTTAATACCTAAGCAAAGACAACGCACACAGAATTAAGGTGCCTGAATAAAATTCAGTTATCCTAAGAAGGTGTACAGAATTTTTATTACATGAACTTGCACAATTGACAAAGCAGGTATAATGTCTCCCATCATGAAAGTTGCAATCTGATCTTGTGCCATTGCTCAGAGTGTTGTGCTCTCAAACTTGTCTACTGGAAATCCTTATTTTTTCATAAACAGATACCCAGTCAAAGATAATATAATAATGCTTAAATTAATTAGTACTGAAAGGACAACAGAAGTTATACTAAAATTGTGCGTGGAGATACAAACACTAATTTTTAATTGCCTTGTATAAATGGCTTAAGTGTTCCTTAATTTCTTAGTATGAGTTTTCCTTGTTGTGCTTCCAATACATTTTCAGCTTGCTTTTTTTCAAATTGGCCTTTTGCAGTATACCCCTTACATGGGAAACACTGGAAATAATTTTGTTCAGAGGGTTTGCATAATGCTGTAAAGTTTAAACATGTAACTTCAGCCATAGCAGCCAGTAATCAGTAAACAGCATACATAAAATAAAAAAGGGCATACAAGTGGCACCAGGATAAAAACTGAGCCACTGCTTTGGATATGCCTGCCTTATTTGGTGCTGGCAGGATTAAACAATCAGGCTTCGTTCAAGAAAAGGAGAAAGAATCTAACTCTTCGGGTACAGCACTTGCATAATCAATTTCCATCTCATCCCGTTCAGGGCAGTCTATGTATTCATGCAGAAATACTGTGTTTTAAAAGAAGTTCTTTTAGACATTCATTACAATTTCAGTTGTTCAACAAAGACAGAATTTAGTATTAGACAGAAGCTGATTATTTTTCACACCACAGAACAACTTTTCTATTTTTTTCTTCAGGTTCCTCAGGCTCCTTTCAATTTTTAGCAGCACTAGGTCAAAAACCATCTTATTTTGTTTAGTATCATTCTGGGGAAATTAGGCCTGTTTGTCTGGATATGGTGCTTAGTGCTGCGCTGTGAGAGCCCTGTTTAACTCCTTGATCCAGCAAAGGACAAAAAAGTATTTCAGGTTTGTAGGGGAAGCCTGGCTCCGTGCGTGATATTCATAGTAGCTTGCACACTTACACAGTGTCCTTTTTATAGCTGAATTGAAATAGGAGTATGAAAGTAAAAATACATGCTGTTCTGTGCCGCCCTGCAGTCTCTAGTGTGGGTTAAATGAGTCCTGGCAAACTGATTCCTCTTGGATTAGGAAAGTTACTAGCTGTCATGACTATAATTCTGCAGCAGAGTTGAGAGACGATTTTAAGAATTAGTGGTCATCTTGCACTACAGGTGCAATGGTTAGAAGCAACAAATGAGGTTTAAAAGAGTTGGTGCTTTTCTGTGTAAACCCTGGGTTAGTAATCTTTTTGCATTCCTGAACTGCATCCTTTTTAAATACAGACTAAAAGAAACTGGTGATTAATTTGTGTTGTAAGTACAGTGGTAGCATTTCTCCTTTCTTAACATTACACAACCTGGAAGGGAGTGTATGTGACCTGATGAAGCACTGTACAGTTCAACAGCATTTGCATTATTGCATAAATATGTTACTGTGTTCCAAACTGACTCTATTCTTTCTATCATTGTTTAAAAAAAAAACATCTTTGGCAGACATAACTGTGATTCAGAAATGTTTCTTTTTTGTTACCGTTGCATTTCAGCTTATTTTTCATCACAAAATGATCTTCTCTTGCTACAAATATAGCAAAGCAAGCACTACACAGTACCTACTGTACCAGTGTACTGTATTACCTTTATCCATGGCAGTATTCTCTAGTAAATCATAGTGCAGGCTGCTTCTCAACTGAATTGTTTAAATAACTGAAAAAAGGAAACACCTTCTCAGAGTGTATTACCTGTACAAGACCCTGAGGTGGTTTATCTCCATCTGTGTATCATTCACAGCCCTACAGAGTTCTCAGAACAGGCAGGGCAGTTTGGAGTGGTGTGACAAGAGACATCTTCCACCCCGAGTTTTTAAAAAGCACTCCATTGCCTGTTCAGGGATGCACATGTGTTAGTGAAGCAGGGGTTGGTCTCAGTCCCTTTCACTCTTCATATACAGTTTCTAGCTCCCAGCTCTTGACCTTTAGTGCTCTGAATCGTCCCGCTTGTCTTAGTGCCCCTCTGACTTCTGTTTCATGTTCCAGCCTAGATTTCAAAAACTGAACCTAATTAGAGCTTTTAAGTGAACGGTTGCATTAGACTTTTCTAACTGCTTTTTTATTGTGGTTTCATAAAACACCCTGCTGGGGGGGATTGTAAATTTAATTCAAAATCTTATGCAGACAACAAGAGGGACGCGTTTTTCATCAACATGCTCATTGCTCCTTTACAGATGTTCTTGAAACCCACATTGCAGCCTTGTCAGGTGGTGAACAATGTTGAGGTTCTTTCAGCATTGTTTTGAAAGAATCATACAATGTGTTTTTAATTTTGCTTAATTGGCTACTCATTAGTGATTCATAGACACAAGTGGGAATGACCCTTTTCAAACAGAGTAAACATTCTTAGTTGCTGTTCTGGAAATGTGAATTAGTGCAGATGCTGTACCCAGAAATTAGTGCAAGGTTGAAGTGCATTTGTAACCCTGTTTAATTTTATATATGAAAACAATCCTTAAATGTTCTTTTACTAGTGTGCGAGAAGAACATTTATTAATTAATCATGACTGAGAGCTTGTTTGGAATGAAAAGCAAGAGTGTGAGAGTAGTCTGTGCCTTTATCACAGAGTATAAATCCACATGAAGATCAGCTTTTAATGCAAATATTCAGACTGTAAGACTGCAGTATAATGGTATAATAACCTACTGTGCAATATGATTCGAATAAAAAGTAGAGTTTGCTGGACTTATTTTTAAACATACCGAATCAGGTATATATACAAAAAGCTCACATTTGCTATTCATGTTAATGCAGCTCCGGGAAGTTGCTCCCCCTACAAACAACGTCGTAGGGAAACCAAACCGGTCTCATTTGTTAGTGCTGCGTTTGTGCCGGTCTGTGACGCTGAAAGTAGCGTTTGTGCTCCTTTCGTTCCCAAGATATAGCGCCTTGGTTTTCCGGTGATCACGTGACCATGCACAGTGACTTTGACCTCCAGTGACCCCGTCTTCCGTTAGGGGTGCGAGAGTAACCGTTCTGCCATTGTGTTCCTCTGTCTGCCCGGGTGGTGGGAGGCGGTGGATTTTGCATGTTATATCAGTCTTCTGTGTGTTTGAGTGATTTGTCACAAATATCACATACCCTAATCAGAAGAGTTGCGGGTGTAGTCTCAAAAAGCGAACACTAGCAAACAATTGCATGTTCTTACCAAGAGGCTTTAACGAGCATGTCTTAATACTTCGTAGCGGTGTGCTTTTTAAAATCTGATGCGCCAAGGGACATCAGTCGAGCCACGTGTTCAAAAAAGACTTAAATCTGTAACTTTGCGAACAAGACAGCTGTTGCTCTTTTTATGCAAAGCACATTCGTCAACGTGAAAAAGAACCAGGGTGTTTTCTAAGGGGCACTACGTACGAGGTTGTTGTGGGCAGTAAAAAACACATCGAAAGGAGAGGCTTTTCTTGAAGGCATAACAAAGGTAGAAAGAGATCTGGTGAAGTGTGGAACAGAATCTTGCACAAGAGAAGAACAAACTAATATCCCAATGTTCCTACGATGCTCCATTCTAAACCAGTAACAGAAGTAAATACCAACTGTGATGAACTTACCTGCTGAAACTAGTCCCTAGCTCTGTACTAAAATGTTCTCCATTGCAAAGAGTAACAAATGCTGCCCCCTGGAGGACATTGTAAGTAATGTCCTACGTAAAGTAACACCACGCAACCTGTTAGTCCGTATCGAGGTCACCGGGGGGTACTCCTGTCTCCC